CCGCCAACTTGGGTACAACAGTCCAGTACGCTAACCGTTACACCATCGCCGCCGCAGAACGTCTCGTATGAGTGTATACTGTATATTCGTAACATAAATGTTACAAACCTAAACTGAAAATGAATTTGTATGGCAAATATTTTTGAAACATAAATGTTATGTAATTAATGACCCTCAATTACACGAATCCCACTACACATTTCATTATAAAAACTATTGCTATCTTCAAATACGTGAACTTGCCATGAATGCAATTGTGCATGGAGTGAATTGCAACTTCCAAAGTTGAATAGGTTTTTATGAAATTAGGACAAATAATATTATTAACAATTTTTGACCCTATTTAAGAACACATTTTAACGAAAATAATTGGAACTGTATTCGATAAAATCTTGATGGAGTACTTTTTATGTTTTTCAAAATGAGATATTTAAATAATGTCGCATAACTTCAAGGGTGCACTTTTAAAACTTACGTAAAGAAGATTTTCTCGAAAACGAGGTCAATTTGTATGTAATCGTTTGTCTTAAATCCAACAATTTAAAAAAAATTAAAATCCATATGTTATATTTTGAGGAAAACCTCTGAAATTCAAAGTTAAAAAGTTGTAGAAGTTTTTATTTTCAAACTGTTCTAGACTTTTAGTCTTTGAGTTAAAGAATTTCTGTTGAAGCGTAGTAATCCTAAGAATTACTCCTTCAAATTATTTTATGTATATTGTTTATAAAATATTAGTAGTTAAGGCGCCATTTTAACTTATTAATTGCGACGATGGTTGACCTCTCATCATATCCCTAAATGACAACGTTAGGTTCATCACTGCCGCAAAATTTGAAGCGGGATTGTCTGTTGCATAAGTATATTTTTTTTGGAATTGTATCCGGTACCTTGTAGTACAAAAAGCAGATTTTTATCTTTGAATAATTTGTGTTGAAAAATTTATAAAAAATTTAAAATATATTTATTTCACTGTATTAGTGGTGCGAATACTGTTTATTATTATTACTATTATTATTATTATTATTATTATTATTATTATAATTATTATTATTTGTTTTTTACAGAGCATACATAGATCAGTACGTTACACACTTTACATATGTAGTGAAGGCTTTATTCTAATTTACCTAAAATTACACTACTAATTTGTGTAAGGAAATATTCCTCTAAAATAATCTATTTAGCAAAATTTGATTGGAAATGCCTGGTATGGATATTTATTTTTAATCCTGGTTCGGTAAAAAGGAGTTTTCGCAGTCTGAAGATGACTAGGTGTCGAATTTGAGGTATCAAGTGAAATAACTCGGTGGAGAGATACGTTATTTGGTGTTGTATGGAGTTTATTTGAAATTCTTTGTGAAGCTGTAAGTTCATGACAAACCAAGGAGTATTTGAGATAGTTCTAAGAAACTGGTTCTGAACAACGTGAAGGCTGTTAAGGTTTGCTTTTGCTGCAGAGATCCAAAGTGGATAGACTTAAAGGAAGAGTGGCCTAATCATGGTGTTGTAGACAGTTATGGCTGTAAGGAATGGGAAGTGGTGGGAAGATCGACGAATCGTGGGGTTTAGTTGATGTAGCTTATTGTTTGCTTGTTATATGTGCCTAAAGTACTGCACAGTTCCCGTGGCATTGCCAAAATTGTGTGATTTAAATTATTACTAAAAATGTATTCATTCTTTTACGAAATAAGAAGTTGTGAAATAAAAATACATGCAGCTGACAGCTTATTTTCCATGAAATGAAGAATGATATGTCTGATATGTAATTTACTTTAACCTGTTACGCAGAATAGTTATCCAAATATCGCGTAGTTGTACGATATTATGTGATCAAATAATAAAACTAGCTTTGTAATTACCAGGGAAAATTTAAATAATTCACCTTTCATATACATAATGATGACAACAATTGATCTTCGTAGCTGTTGCGGCATTCGAGTAACGCCACGTGCTGCAAGTTTTATTGCTATTATCATTTTAAACGTTTTTTAATAACAGTAATACTAATAATAGCTGCTACCTTGCTTAAACTTTTATTTTGATATTTTGCAAGTAATCTTTGGCACTTTATTTTTAAAACTACAATTATAGTATTGTACGAACACTGTTTCATGGTTTATGACGCAAGCTTTTAACACAGGTTGAGGACGCTCTCAGAGAAGTTCTGAAGTGCCCGACTTCATCCCTGCGTCCGTTCACGGTAGCAGAACAAAATGACTACCTTTGCCGCTATTGGGCGTCTGCGTGCGACCAATCGCCTGAAGAGTTCAAGGCCCTCGCTGGCGAGATGGTGGCAGCCCTGCACAGCGCGGCGGGGCAAGGCCGACGCAGCCTTCTGGACGTCATGCTTCACGCGCAGATGGCAGCGGAGGCGTACGAATCGAAGGCGATTCACGCTCTTACAACAGGGGGCAGATTACTCCCAGAAGGCGGCATCACTCTCTACGAGTTATACCGAAGCTTCGTGGACAAGAAAAGAGGCTTGTGCAAGGAGCGCTTTGGACTGACAGATGCCAGTTTTGTGAATCTTCCTATTGTAGATAATTTTGACGAGGTCCATCAGAATTGTGCAATGTTCGTACTGGTGAGTTAGACCAATGAAAATATCTTATTATTACTAGTTTCTTAGTTCGTTTCGTAGTTTTGTTATAAGTACATAGTTGCAAATTAATCACCACATAACATATATTCAAACTTTATTATTATTTTGCATATTGTGATCCACGTTGTACTATGCTCCCTCTTGGCAGACAGTATTTTTAAAGTCGTAATAGTTCATACATTTTACTTGTTTTATTTAAGAAAATAATGAAGTCACTATATTCAATCGGTCCATAGTCATTGCAGTAAAAAATATGCAATTGTTCTGCCGTGCTCTGATGTAGAGAAACGCGTGTTTTCACGATCAAGGTCAAACTGTAGGAAAACCACATAGTGTCCCCATATTGATCGTAGTTGTCGTTTACTTTTCCAACAATGTTCAGAGGGACTACTAATATTATCCTGTTTTTGTTACTGGACAGTGAATATAACATACTTCCCACAAACGTCACGTGAAAAGTAAATAGTGCCGTCAAGAGATATTACTGAATTGATAATGAACGAATCATACCATTGATAAAGCAAACCACAATACTAATACTAATCGTAATAATAATAATAATAATAATAATAATAATAATAATAATAATATTGTATTTGTATCAGTTATCGACAGGTGCTTACAACAATGTTGATACCCAACAATTCGCTGAGTACCTCGCGCTAAATAGAAACAATATAAGCAAAGAAAAGAACGGAATCATGTGGCTAGAAGATGACGGAACACCGCACTTCCTCCATTCCACGTTTGTCGAATTTTTCGCGGCCAGCTGGATCCTCTCGCACGCCAACACCAACACAGCCAAAGGCTTGTGGTGCAGCCTCCTCGACTCGAAGAAGGGCGCCGGAATGAAGCAGATCCTGGAGCACATGCTGGTCGAAGGCCTGCCGCTGCACCACGCCGTGCTGGAGGGCCGCGAACAGGCCCTGGATGAGCTGCTCGAGTCGGCGACAGTCGACTGCTTCGGCCGCACGCCGCTGCAGCAGGCGGCGTCGCTGGGCCGCGCCGACGCCGTGGGCGCGCTGCTCGCCAGGGGCTTCGACCCCGGGTCCCGGGACGCGCTGCTGGGCTGGACGGCTCTGCAGTACGCCAGCGCCTCCGGGCACCTGCAGGCGGCCGACCGACTGCTGCAGGCCGGCGCAGATGCTTCTCAACTCGTCGTCGATGACGTAAACGCGGCTTTGTTCTCGGCAGCGGACTTGGGGCTCAAACATGTAAGTTCTAGAATGTTTATATTTAATACACAAACCATCTTGGAAAGTATAGGGGTAGTTTAATAATAACTTTCTTGTATACGATTCTGAATTGTGTAAAATATTTTACATTTGATACCTACATTTATAATTATTCCTAATTTTCCCCGATTTTTATGCACCAGGTCGATTTTTATTTTCATAACTTCCTTTTCTCTGCCGGGTAGGTCTTTTAGGCGGAACGTTCCTTAGACCATATGTATGGAAAGATGAACTCAGCATTACACAATTTCACTGGCACAATAATATAGATAACAATTTTTTTATTGCCAAATATAAAAAACAGTAATTTATAACCTCATGTTACAGGTCATGATATGTCTGCTGAATATAGGAGCAAACGTCAATTGGCGAAAACATGGCTTGACACCTCTCATGATTTCATCCATACGAGGGCACACGATGAATGTGCAACTTCTTTTGGAAAACGGGGCAGATCTACACCAACGCTCAGATGAGGGACAAACTGCATTACACTATGCCTCTGCTGGATGTCATCGTGAGGTTATGCAGCTTCTTTTGGACCGCGGCGCCAAGCCACGAGAAACAAGTGTAGATAGAACCCCACTGATGTTAGCTTCTGAGAAGGGCAATGCACTGTGTGTGCGTCTTCTTCTGCAATACGGGGCTGATGCTCATAAAAAAATCCACCTAACTTCTGCTCTACACTTCGCATCCGAGAACAGCCATTTTGAAGTCGTAGGTATTCTTCTCGAGGCCGGTGCGGACCCAAATGATCGAAACAAAAGAAATGAATCCCCTCTAATGTTAGTTTCTAAAAACAATAGTCCATCCATCGCGACATTGCTTTTGGAACACGGAGCAAACGTTCATGGAGTCGACAACGGGAAGTGGACTGCACTGCACTACGCCGCTGCTAACGAGCGACTGGAGGTGATGACCGTTCTCCTCGACAACAATGCTGATCCGAATCCAAAAACTAAATGGGGAATGACCCCATTGATGATGGCGGCTACGAATAATAATGTACTAGTGGTTCGGCTCCTTATTCTACATGGAGCAGATGTACACCAACATGACATTCACAAGAGGACAGCTCTACATTTTGCCTCCGACAAATGTCATCATGAGATTATTAATCTCCTCCTTCAGAGCGGCGCAGATCCAAATGCTGAAACTAAATGGAACACTACTCCTTTGATGTTAGCTTCCAAAAATGGATGTGCACTTTCTGCCGGGCTTCTTTTACAACATGGATCGAACATTCATAACTGTGATTCACAAAAGAAAACTGCTTTACATCATGCCTCAGCATTTGATCACCTTCAGGTATTGCAGCTCCTTCTCGAGAAGGGCGCAAATCCAAACTTGAAAGATAAATGGAACACAACCCCATTGATGGTTGCCTCCAAACGCAGCAGCGGGTCAGCTGTGCGGCTTCTTTTAAAATACGGGGCAGATGTACATCAGTCCGACACAAACATGAAGACTGCGATTCACTTCTCGTGTTCGGGAGGTAACCAGGAAACGATTACGTTGCTTCTAGAGAGTGGCGCAGATCCTAATGCTAAAAACAAATGGAACACGTCCCCGTTGATGATATCGTCAAAGCAAGGTTCTACCACTTCTGTGCGACTTCTTTTACAACATGGTGCGGATTTACATCAACGTGATGAAAACTTGAGAACTCCTCTTCACTACGCTTCGGAAAATGGCCATGATCACGTTATGCAGTTTCTTCTCAAAAGCGGCGCAGATCCAAATCCAAAAGACAGATACGAGAGTACTCCGCTTATGATTGTTTCCAAGCAAGATGATGTTTCGTCCGCGAGAATTCTTTTGCAATACGGGGCGGACGTGAATCTGTGCGATATTGACAATGAAACTGCTTTACACCACGCTGCACGAGCAGGTAATCACAAGATTCTAAATCTCCTTCTTGAAAGCGACGCAGATCCAAACGCTAAAAATAAACTGAACATTTCTCCGCTGATGTTTGCGTCCAAAAACGGAAATGTGTCGTGTGTGAAACTCCTTTTACAATATGGAGCAAACGTGCACCAATGTTGCGACTGTAACGAAAGTGCCCTTCAGTACGCCTCCAAAAATGGACGTTTGGAGGTTATGAAGCTGCTTTTGAACGTAGGAGCAGATCCAAACACTAAAAATTTTCGAAATTTGTCTTCGCTTATGAGTGCTGTTAGTGGCGGTCATTTGTCGTGTGTGGAGCTTCTCTTACGCCACGGAGCGGATGTACATCAACGTGACGGAGAAATTAATTCTGCTCTTCATTTAGCTACCTTGGGAGGTCATCGTGAGATCGTGAAACTTCTTCAGAGAAGTACAGATCCAAATTACAAAGAAAATAACAGAGATCTCCTCGTACGTTAGCTTTCAAGAAAGGTTGTGCATCATCTACACGACTGTCGAAAAGCTTCTTTGCAGTTTATTTGGTGGTTACTTCCTTGTGCAGTTGTACATTTGTTCATAATGGTGACCAAGAGTTTTAAGCTTGTCTCCTATGCAAGCTAGTACTGTATTGCATATATTCTTTTAGCATATAAGTGAGACGTTCAACAGGGCAGGATAGTGCGCGCTCTTAGGGCAGGCGAGCCCTTAGCATTACAACGTTGTAGGATTTTGCTAGGTAAATTCTCACCTCTCTGTAAATCCTGCATTGATTATATTTTAAAATTTAATTTACCTTTCGGTAAGTTAAGCATGCCCCATTTCGGGTGGTGCAGTCAAATCGCGTATTCCCCGCAAAGTGGCTAGGAGAGAAAACTGTCGGGGAGTTTGAGAGGAATTTCGGCAGATGTACCATTGTACCATGTGGTGCGATCGTCTCAGGGGTTGAAGGCTGCAGAGAACAGCGGAAAAAGTGTTCTTTAGAACTTGTAAATACTGTATTGTTAATGACGAAATAAATCTGTAAATAGAAACTCCGTGTCTGTGTTCTTATTGTATCACGAGACTCTGTATCTATATTGTATGACGAGACTATCAATATAAAGCCACCTTAACGGAGAGCCTTGGTGTATGTCGGGGGTGCAACGCCCAGCATATACGATAAGAAGCTATGGACACCAGAGACACATGCAGTAACAGTGGGAGTTATTTGAAGGGTAAAACCGGACGCGCAGTGATGAGTGACTAGAAGTTATATTGATAATTGGATAGGGCTCTGGTCATTATTTGGAAGTAACTGTGAGTAGCGTGGACTGTGAGTAGTATGGAAATCTGATATTTTGAAAATAAGATTTTAAATGCGCTTTATCTCCAGGTACGAACATTGGCAAAGTGTGCTGTATTAATTACAATTAACATTGTAAATCTTCTCATAATAAATTTTGTTTTTTATTGTATGAGTGTCCACTTATGCCCACACATTTCAATCCTATATTAAGTCATTCTAGTATCCGTACAGACTGGTTTGTTAAAATTTTCAATTTATTGCACGGTTGTACGAGAGTATATTTGTTGCTTTGAGCAGTGTTGGTGCTCTCTTTTGAAAAATTATTTTGTGGGTTTTGTTCAGCGGAATGTTTGCTTCTGCCTCTTGTAATAATTATTTACGAAATATGTATCGAAAAATATCTTACAACAGGACATTGAAGAATTATGGAGCAATTTCCTCATGCAAAGTATCTAGGTATTTATTTCAATAGTAAATTAAGCTGGAAAAGACACAAATATTTTGCTATAGAGAAAGCGTGGAGATCTCTTCACTTTGTAATGCGCATCTTAAAAAAGAGTACAGCAAACACGAAGGAAATTGCTTATTTATCGCTTGATAAATGTCCAATAATGGAATAAGAAACAATTTGTTTGGATACGCACAAATTTAGTGTAAACATTTGGAAAGAATTCAGCGTAGAGCAGCTAAATTTACTTTCAGGGACAAGAAAATGGCAGGATGGGATTCACTCGAAAATAGGCGATCAGTAGCATAGCTCTGCGCTTTGTATAAAGCTTATAGTGGTTATCAACCTTGAAAAGAAATTAATCAGCGGCTACGTATTCCTACGTAGAGTGGATCACAGGCACAAAATAAATTTATGCCCACAGAGGACGAATGTCGGGAAATTTTCTTTCACAAATTGAACGATAACGGATTGGAATAGATTGCCTGCAGAAACCTTTCAGCCCTTTCCTCAAAGCGTTCAACAGTTTAAGAAATTAATTTAGGGTATTACTGAGTAAATGATGGACTTAACTGAGAATAGTAGGCTGCAGAACGAGGCGTAAGTGATATCTTGTGAAGTGTCATGCAGTGTAGAACAGAGGAATAATGAATGAAGTGATTAAAGGGTCAGAGTGAAGTGAAGTGCAGTGTGATATTAATTGAACAAACATTCAGTGCGGAGTTAGAATATAGAAGTTTCTCTTTCTTAAGGTAATTTAATGTTTTATGAATTAGACATTTTTTATATCATTATTTTTATTATTAATGTTGTTGTTATTATTATTATTATTATTATTATTATTTTTATTGTTTTATCAGCTGTTTTATTGCTTCTATGATAATTATTGTACCATTATTATTATATAATATGCATGTTAGCAATATTATCTTATTTATGTAATTAGCTGCCACCGGGTTATGCCCATTTGAAGTTTAAATAATTTTATCTGAGCAGGTTAGACTGCGTTTAATAACAACTTGAGTAATGTAATAAGAGATTAAGATAAGAATATCCTACAAAAGTTTCTTCACTATGCAAAACTTCAAATGAACTATAATTTTCGATTAAATTTGACTATTTTGCCTGTTAATAGTAGGTAGTTAAAATTAGCCTTCGATTATTAGAAAAATTGTGTGAACGTTTGTCACAAAATTGTTTGTTGTTTTTAGAAGGGGGTGTTGATTATCAGAACACCCTTGTTTGACTTTAGATAACCAAAGTAGATAAACGCTTTAGTATAAATGATCGACTAATCTAGTTTGTTTTATCCAGTTTCCCTGATCCATTGAGCGAATACTGAGATGGTTCCTTGTTTTGTTTCAGGACATAAATGTAGCTTTACTATTCGCACGTTTTGTGGGGCTCTTCTTGTGCTTGTAGAGGTAGGAGTAGAGCTGGAAGATGTTACTATTGTGTTAGTGATAAAAAAAATCAAATCAACAGTTCTTTTACCGAAGCAAATACGGTTCTTCGGGAACAATTTTTTTCTTTTTCCTAGTTTTCAAACGATGTTAATCTTACTACTTTTTAAATCTTTTATTCATAAACCAACATTTGTAGTTAAAATTTTGGGAAGAGATTCTAGAGCTCAAGAAAACATGCACAGATAGTTCTTCTCCTCTACACTTTACATACTGTTTTTACAGATCTTTGACCAAATAAATAAAATCAAAATACGTAGTAGCTTCCCGTGATATGGTCCGGGTTTGATCCTTGGTCGAGGTAAAAATAAGAGTTGTAGCTTTCCTTCAAACTTGTTCCAGTTTCTGTGGCTATGCGACGAAGAAAAGCTCGGGCGGGTGGAGTTTGCTAGTTGGTGAAGGGTATACGTCATGTTCGCCATATGTAGTTGTTACCTCTAAGTATGCCAATTTAACTAGACCCAGGGATGAGGGACACTATTAGCTAGCCGGCATAGTTGGGCTATGGACGCAAAATGCTAAATACGTACAAATAACCCGTGTTGATACAGTTCGGTAACCGTGTTTTATTGTACACAAACTACAAACAATATATCTTTCGTAAGTATGTCATATAAAAGAGGAACTTTAATAGATTTTTGCGATGTTTCAGCAAATGCATATTGTTTCCGTATTCGCCATACTTGGCGTTTTGTAAAAATGGCGACTTCTGACGCAGAGCTTTCTTTCTGGGCTCTGGATGTTTACAAATACAGGAGTGCTATTGATGTTCATCGAAAGTTCAGAACTATTTATGGTAAAGACAACACTTGCCTTACTCTTTGGAGCATAACCTCAGATACAGTAGTGACAGTTTCCTCAATCCTAAACTTGAGTTTCTGTAGATTATGCAGTAAAGGTGGTGCATATCCACAATCTTTGAGGTATTCCCTTATGAAGTCACAAGGAGTGATATCTAGAAACCCATATTTCGAAGCCATTATCCCTGTTCCCTACTCATCCGATCCCCTATTGAGTTAGCTCGATTGTTTCAAAAATTCACGAATATCTTATGGTAATGAGATGAGACCCATGAAAAAAGCGTGCTCTTTGCCAAAAGTCGTCATCTTAAAAAGAGAAATGAAACGCCACCCACATTGAATCAGGATACTAAGTTTCTTTTATACTAGAGTAAATGCTATTTGATTTCTTCTTTTATATGACATACGTACGAAACTTTACAGTGTTTGTGCAATGAATTAACAAACGTGTTTGGGTACTTTCTGAACGTACGCACTCGGCCAGCGTCCTCCGAGCGCCGCAGAGCATTGTCGCGCGCGCGTCGCCGCGCGACAGCTCGTCCTGCCTGAGGGAGGCGCGCCGGTGACAGCCGCCCACGCCGAGCCGCGATGTTCCAGACGCAGTCGCCGCACCACGCGGGGCCCGGGCCCGCGCCCGCGCCCCCGCCCGCGCCCCCCTCCAGGCTGCTCTACGACCCTGTGCTGCGCCAGATGCGCAACGCGCACACCTACGAGACGGCCTTCTCCCGCGCGCAGCCCGGCGTCACGTGGGGCAGCATGGAGCACCACCCGCCGTGCGTTCGCTTGCTCTTTACGTTCCTCTACTCGAGTTTCGTTGTACTAAAAAAGGAGAAACACAACATAGTCGTACAAGAATTGCAGCAGCGCTCAGCGTGTTTTTGTGACTTTTTGCTGCTTTGGAAGGAAATGTCTGAGCACTGGCACATTACAATCCACATGGAAGTTGGAGAGATTTGTTTGATTGAATGATTGATTTATGTTTCCGCACACGTGAACTACTATCACCATTAGTCCCGGTAGTGTGGTGAACGGTTATTCCGGGAGGTGGCAGGTATGCACCCGCTGAACGTTGAGATCTCACGCCAACTTACGCATTGGCTTGTGAGGGTTTTCTGTTATCTTCCCTGGCTAGGCACCGCCCCAGCAGGAACAAGCTCTTAGCTCCTGTCTGGTCGAAGGTTCGAAGCTGGCGTGGTTCGAGCTGGCGTGGTTCGGGCTGGCGTGGTTGGAGCTGGCGTGGTTGGAGCTGGCGTGGTTGGAGCTGGCGTGGTTGGAGCTGGCGTGGTTCGAGCTGGAGAGTTTCTAGCTGTCGGGGTTTGAATTGAAGACTTCTTTTGCAGTGGGAAAGAGGCCCCCCGGCGGCACGCGAGCAACTTCGGCCCATGGAGCGGGGGGCCGCCGATGCAGCAGCAGAACGCGTCCGCGTGGAACAACAGCAGCCAGAGTGCGTCGTTCGGCTGGCAGCGCCCGCCGCCCGACTGCGGCATGAAGGCGTGCAACGTGTGCCCGGCGTTCGCGCGCACCCCCTGCGGGCCCTGCGGCCCCGCGCACAACGCGCCGCCCTGCCCCAGGCCAGTGCACTTGTCAACATTCGCATAGCGTGCTGTCAAGCGCAATGCCGTGTAAAACGGGCTATCCAAAATTCTCAATCTTACGAGTTCAAATGACCGCTACTAGACCGCATGACAATCAAGTCCCGCGAGCTTGTGAAACAGTTTTTCTTAATAATCGCGGAATTCCATTTTTGTCACTTAGCACGGATTTCCCTTACTGTCTACAAATATACAGAGCATACACAGATCAAAGCATTTTTCATTCGCGCTACATTGTATTTCGGTTTCAAAAGAGGTTGAAAAGTAGCACTTGATACCATACTGAATTACAGTAAATTCTCATACTCAGGGTATGAACATTGAAGTTTGATACAAAGTCTTTGGATGCATTTTAAATGTGGATACATGTCCGCAAATGAAAACGATGATAATTTCAACAATTATAATGAATCTTACCACTCATGAAAGTGTCAGTAATTGAACAGTATTATAATTTGCTGTAATTTGAAACAAAATTGCTATCATTCATTGCAATTACATAGTAAAATATGAGTAACATTTTGTGTGGCATGTAGTACTTACCAAAGCTGATTTTTCTAACAATTCAATCTTGTTCATTATATACATTTCTCGAGTTCAATATAGTTTGTCTTCTTTATAATACATTTATTCCAATTTCTGAGTCATTAATTGTTCTAAAGCTTCATTATACAATTTGAGATTCACGCTTTGTTTCATTTCCAATTTAAAAACTCCAACGTATTTTAATTGTCAAGAGCTTAGAAGCAGATTTATCGACAATCGTGAAGAGATAATGTATATTTAAATTAAAAAGAAAGAAAATCTAAATAAAACGTTTGAACTTCCAAACGAGTATGCTTACTTGTTTCAAATTTTTGATCTGGTTAAGGTCTTATTTTCATGCCACAAATGCTCTATCACTGCAATGCCGTCCAAGAAGGTCTTCCTTTTTTTTAAAATGTGCTCCAAGGGCAAACATTTTGCTGGAAATTTCTCTACAAATTTTACTATCACATAATTAAACAGTGCTAGCAAAACGATTATTTCAAAATAGCTTATGTCCATTATTTCATTTTTCAACAGTAATTTTCATTTTCATAAAATATTCACATCACAATTAAATACCATAAAAATTACATCACATTTAAAATTGACACAAAATACACATATATTTTTAATCATAAAAATAATATAAGTCAGAAATATAAAAATAAGACAATTAGCGTACTTTGACG